GTGACATTTGATATCTCCATATGGACAAAGGACAATAACAGGTCTCTGAAGTGAGGTCATAATACCCCCAATTGTGCCTCAGGACCTTCCTATATCAAAATGGTGGCAGAGAATTCGATTACTAGACCATAAATTACCCATATTGCCTGAGACCTTGGCATGCTGGGAGAGCGACAGTTTCTCACAGGCAAGGGTGTCACACCCCAACATTGTGCCACAGTTTTCTACATCTAAACGGTGACCAAACCCCCACTGCGGGCCATACATAGCAACAGTTTCCCAAATGAAGGCTACAGATCAGCCTATATCCCTCCCTGGAACCTTTGCTCGATGTTCTCCCTGGTGAAGCTGCCACATCCCTTAGGGCTCCCTGGGACCAACTATGAACAAGGCGGCACAGCCTCACGTGGAAGAGCCGGAAGGAACTCATATTGCGTCCCGGGTTCTCAAAATCACATGGCGTTAGAGCAGGGCTGTGAAATGCTATATCCTGCTCTGGTGGCGTGATCCCAAGAGCTTTTCCCACTTCGCCTGGTGCCAGGATCATGGACTCCCACATCCATCACCTGGGCCATTTCTGTGCCTGAGATGCCAAGAGCCCTTGAGTTGTTAACACCCAGCACCACACTCCAGGAGCGTGACATCGTAGGACCCACCCTACAGACAACGCCATGTCGCTATCCTGGACCTCACATTGGGCCCCGATTCCCTGGAGTCCCCTCAACCCCACATCACAGTCGCAAGGCTGGAGACACTCACCTCCAATCCGCTCTCCTAACTCCTCTCTCCAGGTTTCGATGATGAGAGAGAAGCTGCCCTGGTCGGGTGGAGGACGGGGGAGAGGGAAAACGGGAGACTCCAGTTAGGGCAGTACTCAGTGAAGGCCAGTGTTCAGGGCGACAGTTCCCAGAGGGACTAGCCCAGGGAAGGGGTGACATCTGTGGCTTTCTTTATTGAGCACTTCACTCAAGATACTTGTCTGAATCCCTCAAAAGGGACCCTTGTGAGGTACCAGGATGATCCCTTTTTGGGGGGGAGTGGGGGAGACGGAGTCTCGCTCTGTTGCCGGGGCTAGAGTGCCGTGGCGTCAGCCTAGCTCACAGCAACCTCAAACTCCTGGGCTCAAACGATCCTCCTGCCTCAGCCTCCCGAGTAGCTGGGACTACAGGCACCCACCATGACGCTCGGCTAATTTTTCTATTTTTAGCAGAGACGGGGTCTCGCTCTTGCTCAGGCTGGTCCCATTTTATAGCTGACGAAACTGTGGCCGGAAAACAGAAAGTCACTTGCTCAAAAGGACAAGGGTCTAGAATTCCAACACAGGTCTGTTCAGCTCTGTGCCTTTGGGTCGTGGGGATGGGAGATAGGATTTTGGAGGTGAAAGAGTAAGGAATACAGGTCCCAACTGGAGGCAGTGAGGACAGAAAAGGTGAGAGATTAGTGGTCCCCAAGACAAGGTGTGGGGGATCCCTAGGTGCAAGGAGACTGGGGGAGAAAGATGAGGATCCTAGGTTTTAGGCATCCTTAGGGAGGAGAGGTACGGTTCTTTGAATTTAGGGTTTCCAGAGGTTGGGTTTGGGGTTCTGGGAATTTGGGGTCCCCAGCACGCAGGGCTGGGGTCGGAACATTTGGGATCCCCAGAGGGTAGGGTTCAGGGGTATGGGAATGTGGGGTTCCAGATGGCAGAGTTACTGGTCTGCCAATTTTCTCCCCGGTCCATGCCCCGGAGGCAGAGTTAGCGTCTCGGAAGCTGAAGGGCGGAGGGGCTGGAGGTCTGGGTGGCGGTGTCAGGCCTCCAGCACCAGGACTGCCCCAGGGCCACGTCTCACCGGCCAGCCGTCCTGGAAGGGCAACCGCATGAGTCCGTCGGGCAGCGGCAGGTCAGGCGCTGGCGCTCCCGGCTGCTCGGTGTAGACGGGTCCACGCGCACTCAGCGCCGCGCCCAAGGCGCACGGGGACTCGGCGGCCTCCTCGGAGACCCCCGGCGTCAGGCAGACTCTGAAGAAGAGGCGGCAGGACCCCCGGGTGCTGCAAGGGGAGCGCGGGGCCCCCGGGCCCGGGCCCGGCCCGAAGGAGTGGATCTGCAGCTCGAAGACGCCAGCGGGCCGTGCCTGGGGCACGCAGAGGGGAGCAGGTGAGGCGGCCGCGGGGACCCAGGCGTCCTGTCTGCCGCGCGCTCCCTCCCCGGGAGCCCCGGGTCGCACCCCAACCCCCATTCATCCCTGTCTACGCCGCCTCTCGCGGGCTCTGACCTGGGGGAGGAAAAGGAGCGCTAGGATCACTGTCTGGCACCGGAGCCGGGGCATCCGCGGGGAGACCATGGCCTTTCGGGGGTCTCGGGAGTCGCGGCTGCAGGCTGCGCAGCCTTATATCCGAGGGGACGGCCCCGCCCCTTTGGGCAGCCGCCCGGCCCAGGGGACCGAGGGGAGGGGCCGAGGGGGAGGGGCGCGTGGAGGAGCAGCCACGAGGCTCTGTATGCGGTCGAGGGCGCGGCGACGTCGGGAACGTATGGTCGTGCGGGGGGCCGGGGTGCGCTGAGGTCGGGAGCTGGGCCGTGTGCGAGGCTGTGTAGGATTGTGAGACTCTGAGTGCGCGCGGTCTGCGCGGGAGCGACCGGAGGGCGTACGCGCCTCTGCGATTGTGTGTCCTGCGGTATTGTGTGGCTCGGCGTGTGCCGGGGTTGTGTATGATTAACGCGTCGTGAGGTTGTAAGTGCTGCCGAGATTCCGTGTGAGAGAGCGAGCGCGCACCCGAGTGGGGGACTAGAGGTACACACGACTTCGTGATCGTGTGACGTTTTGAGGTTGCGTGGCTGTGCGGATGCTTCTCTGCGCAAGCGCGTGTGTTCGCGTGAGATCCCATGGAGTCGTGTGAACCTGTGACTTTGTGGTCAGTGCATGTGTCTCCAGGTGGCCGCGTGCGTGCGCAGTAGAGGCTCTGCAGGGCTGGGAATGACTGAAGGTGTGCGAGTGGAGGAGGCGGGCTTTGGGGGGCCCATGGGTGTAGCGGTGTGTGGACCCGATGAAGATCCGGGGTTCTGCATGGCCCCTGTGTGCGCGAGTGTGTGTGTGTGTGTGTGTGTGTGTGTGTGTGTGTATGCGCGCGCGTGTTCGCGCTCCCCAAGACAAAGCCACCCTCCCAGACGCCGCAACACGGACGCACCAGCCGCCGGGGCGCGGCGCCCCCGCCTCGGAGGCGCTCCCAGCTGTATGTAAATGCCGCCATCTGCCGGGCGGCGCGCCCCTCCCCCGCGGGGCCGCAGCTGGGCTGCCCGTTTGGCCTCCGGAAGGTGCGAAGAGCAAATGGGCAGGAAATTCCGTCTCCACATACCAGGGGCCCGGTTCCCCCCCCCCAGGATGAATGCGGGGGGCACCCGCGGGCCCTCCAGAAGCCCCTTAGTATTCCAGGACCTCGGCGAGAAAAGCCAGTCAGCAGATGTTCCAGCCCTCTGGTCCCAATCGCTGTGCCCGGTGTTGAGCAAAGCCCTTTAGATGGAGCAAACTCGTTGTCTTTTCCAGAGTAAAAAAATTTAATGCTTGTAAGATACTAGTAAGTATAGGGGAAAACACAGCTTCAACTTACATTCATGCTCTTCTGTTACAGGTGTATGATACGGCGATCAACGCAGCAGAGCCCAGCAGAGCCCCGCATACAGTAGGCACTCAGTAAGTTTTTAACTAGTGAAAGAATGCCAGTCTAAAGTTTTCTCTCAACCCTGAGGACGCTGGAGTCTGACCAAAGGGGGTCAGATTGTGCAGAACATCCCAGGCTCTGTCCCCTCTGTTTGTCGGTCTTCCCACTCTCTTCTTTAATTGTTTTCACCATTCAGACTTCACCTTTTCCAGAAAGCCCTCCCTAAAACTCCCCGAGGGGGTCACACATCCCCTCTGAGCTTCCACAACCCCCTGTGCCTCCCCCATCCTGGCCCTATGTCCTTCCCCTGCATAGACTCTTCCATGGCTCCCCAGTGCCTTCAAAATATAGTGTGAGCTTCTGAGGCTAACATTTGAGGCCCTCCTTCCACATTCCCCGTTCTCTGACGGGTTCTGCGGCCCCAGAGGGTAGAGCCAGAACTTGGGGACTGAAGTTACCAGGAGGCAAACTGGGTTAGGAAGAGGAGTGAGTTTCTTTCTCATCACAGTACATATTCAAACAGAACTTGGGCAGCCAGCTGTGGGAGGAAGCAAATTTCTGCCCTGGATGATAACTTGGGAGAGTAAGATTCCAGGTCTGACGCCATGGCACTCTAGCCCGGGCAACACAGTGAGACTCTGTCTCAAAAAAAAAAAAAAAAAAAGATTCCAGGTCTGAGAAATCTCAGCCATATGGACCCTGGGGGAAAACACTTCTGGCCACAGAGGGAGCAGCAAGTGCAAAGGCCCTGGGGTAACTATGCCTGGCACACTCAGATATCCCCATGGCTTTCCTTCTCATTTCATCCGATCTCTGCTCAAATATCCCTTCCCAAGAGGTCTTCCCTGACCATTCCATCCAGTCTAAAACAGTATCCCCAAGTCCCCCTCCTTGCCATACTTTTTCTTTATGCATTTATTACCCCCCAAGAAATACCTCAGCATTGTCTCCTGCATGAGAACATCAGCTCCCCGAGGGTGGAGCTTTTTAATATCATTTGGTCACTGCTGCACCCTAATTCCTAGAACAGGGCCTGGCAGTCGACGCTCAGTATTTGTTGAATAAGTGAATGCACGCAGGAGGTACTATATTATCAACCCCTTCAACAGACGCTAGGACCTTGCCGAGGGCCCACAGATCCTGCTGGAGTATTATGCCTGAATGCCGGTGAATCCTGCCCACCAGATGATACCGTGATGCCATGCAGCCTAGTGACCAGAGCATTTTAGGAAAACGTCCTGGGCCATGTTGCATCAGTGTCCCAGAGGCCTCCTGTGCACAAGTCAAACCTTTTCTTCACCTCGCCCTCTAGCTTCGAGCAGGTGTGCCATGACAGCACCGTCCCTGAGTCAGCACTGAGGTGGGGGGAAAAGCCAGGAGGACCCACTGGGCACCGAAGCATGTGCTACCCAGAGTGCCAGAGCCTTAATCCCCAGAAGCCTCTGGACACACCCACCCTTCTTCCTTTCATGCCCTGGAGAGCAGACAGATCCGAGTCACAATTTTTTTTTTTTTTTTGAGACGGAGTCTCACTCTCTTGTCCGGGCTGGAGTGCTGTGGCGTCATCCTAGCTCACAGCAACCTCAAACTCCTGGGCTCAAACAATCCTTCTGCCTCAGCCTCCCAGGTAGCTGGGACTACAGGCATGCGCCACCATGCCCGGCTAATTTTTTCTATATATATTTTTAGCTGTCCAATTAATTTCTTTCTATTTTTGGTAGAGACGGGGTCTCGCTCTTGCTCACGCTGGTCTCGAACTCCTGAGCTCAGAACGATCGCCTGCCTTGGCCTCCCAGAGCGCTAGGATTACAGGCGTGAGCCACCGCTCCTAGCCCCCAGTCACATTTCAAAAGGCCCCTCAGAAGGTTCCAATAGGACTAAGCTCGTCCCCTGCAGTGGTAGGCAAGTGTACACTTGTGGTGTCGCTCGCTCCCTCTGTCCTCAGCTCATTCTCCCCAGGACCGCATTTGCCAAACACACAAGCTCTGTCTCCACCTTTGCTTCTGGTTAACAGTCTCCATGCTCTAAGCTAGGTGCAAAGAACACTGTCCCTCCCACCCCAATCCTGGGGACTTCCCAAGCTAGGAAGCAGCTGTGGACATCAGGAAATCCACCCCCTCACCCTACTCATAGACAGTACACCCTGCGGCTACAGGTGCTGGTGCACATTTTAATTCTTTGTGGATGCCTGTGCGCCTTTTAAAACAATCTAGAGTGCAGAGGTTCAGTCCGGCCCACAGAGTTTCAAATGCATTTAAATTATAACAAACACCAGGGAAGGTCTTTCAAAAATATTTAACTGGGCCGGGCGCGGTGGCTCACGCCTGTAATCCTAGCACTCTGGGAGGCCGAGGTGGGCGATCGTTCTGAGATCAGGAGTTCTAGACCAGCCTGAGCAAGAGCGAGACCCATCTCTACTAAAATTAGAAAGAAATTAATTGGACAACTAAAGCCGGGCGCGGTGGCTCACGCCTGTAATCCTAGC